GGGGGGGAGGGGAGAGGGGGTGAGTTGTGGAAGTGCCGGTGTGGGCCGGGGGTTCTCTTTTTTTTTGCAGCAAGAGCAGAGAGGTTGGGAGAGAGTACGGTGTCAGCAGCGGCTAGAGGAGGGGACTGAGGCCTGTCATTGTGATGTCAAGCTTACATAAATGGCAGCGGAGTTGTTGTGTGCGCGATAGCGGCATGTCTGCGCTAGCACCTGTGAGGCTGAGTTGAACGCCTCAACATGTGTAGTCACCTTTTTTCTCGCCTCACTTCCGCTCACGCTTTCCTTGCCAGCCTCCCCCTCCCCGCGTCCTCCTCCACTCCACTCCTCCCCCCCCTCCCCCCCCCCCTCCCACTCCCCCCTCCCCCCTCTCCCCCTTATATCACCACAACGAGCACCGGTCCTCCTCTACCCATAGCAGCCCACCTCGCCGTCCTCCGACGTCCGTTTTGATGGCGAGGAGAAGTGATAGTTCGGCAGAGGGACAAAAATTGACTGCGTTGACTCGAGTCGACATGAAAACGTTTCCCGTGGGACATTGGCCCGACTCGGCTGAGGGATAGCCCGACGAGGAGCGAGAGCGAGAGAGGCCAGAGAGGGCGAGGTGGAGAGGCGACGAGAGTGGAGAGTGTGTGGAAGAGCCGAGAGAAAGCGGAGCACTTGTCTGGCAGAGCCACCGGGGACGGACCGAGTGGTGGTTGAGGCAGCTGGCGGCGGGCAAGTGAGTAGTGAGGAAGCGAGGGAGAACAGACAGAGGTCGTGTGGACTGCATTGGCTGTGGGCGCAAGGGCTAGACCGGAGCAGGCGAGGTGCCGGCGTTGGGCGTAGGGACTGGCCAACGACATTGGCTTGCCCGTGTACTCTCCTGGGATCACTCGCATAGTGTGTGTGGCGAGGCTGTTGTGGCTGGGCGGTTGCTTGCCGGTGACTGCTGCTGCTCATCGCTGCTGCTGATTGCCGGTGACTGCTGCTGCCCATTGCTGCTGCTCATCGCTGCTGCTGACTGCTGCTGCTGATTGCCGGTGACTGCTGCTGCCCATTGCTGCTGCTCATCGCTGCTGCTGACTCATCGTTGCTGCTGCTCATCGTTGCTGCTGCTCATCGCTGCTGCTGCTCATCGCTGCTGCTGACTGCTGCTGCTGTCTGCTGCTGATTGCCGGTGACTGCTGCTGCTCATCGCTGCTGCTGCTCATCGCTGCTGCTGCTCATCGTTGCTGCTGCTCATCGTTGCTGCTGCTCATCGCTGCTGCTGCTCATCGCTGCTGCTGACTGCTGCTGCTGTCTGCTGCTGATTGCCGGTGACTGCTGCTGCTCATCGCTGCTGCTGCTCATCGCTGACTGCTGCTCATCGTTGCTGCTGCTCATCGTTGCTGCTGCTCATCGCTGCTGCTGCTCATCGCTGCTGCTGCTCATCGCTGCTGCTGACTGCTGCTGCTGACTGCTGCTGATTGCCGGTGACTGCTGCTGCTCATCGCTGCTGCTGCTCATCGCTGACTGCTGCTCATCGTTGCTGCTGCTCATCGTTGCTGCTGCTCATCGCTGCTGCTGATTGCTGCTGCTGACTGCTGCTGCTGACTGCTGCTGCTGACTGCTGCTGCTGTCTGCTGCTGATTGCCGGTGACTGCTGCTGCTCATCGCTGCTGCTGCTCATCGCTGACTGCTGCTCATCGTTGCTGCTGCTCATCGTTGCTGCTGCTCATCGCTGCTGCCGCTCATCGCTGACTGCTGCCCCTTCTCCTCTTTGCTACGACCAGTGCTCCAAGTCGGTGCTGTACTGCTACTGCTGCTGGTCACGACCATCCTGCTCACCTACATTCATTGGCAGTGATGGACACCTACATATCATCATCATCATCATCATCATCATCATCATCGTCGTCGTCGGGCCGCCTCCCGCCGCTCGCCGCATCGTCCCCACGAAAGCGCCGCGAGTCTACGGCACATGCCCACTCACCACGCCCGGTCAAGCGCGGCCGCCTGCTGTCGGCGGTCCTGGCTGCCACCGATCCGTCGGGCTCCACCTCGACTTCTTCAAGCCTGTCGACCACGCCGCGTTCGCCAAGCCCCCAACCGCCGCGCGGGCCGGCCGCCATGCACCTCGTGGCGCCTGGGCCTGCCATCAGCGGCACCTGGCCGACCGCCCCGCCGACTGCCTCGTCGGTCGACGAATGGGCCGCCCAATGGGCCAGCGAGGTGGTTGGCGCGCTGACGGCGGTACCCGCGGCGGTTGTCGTCGTGCCCGCCGGCGAGGCACCGGCGCTCGCCTTGGGCCGGGCGCCCGCAGTGCTGGGAAGCGGCTGGCGGCCGGCGGTCGGCGTCGGCTCGCCGCCCGAGCAGGCGTTGGGCGAGGCGCTTGGCGCTGCGCTCGACTCTTGCGGCGCGTTTACTGCCATTGTCCCCGTCGCCGTCTGCGCCCTCCCGTGGCCGCCGTCGCTCGCCTCGACGCTCGCGTCCACGCTCGACGCGCTGACCAGCCTCGATCCGGCGACGTGTCCACTGGCGGCGCGAACCGTCAACGCGCGGGTGCTTGTGCTTGAGATGCAGCGGCTGCTGCTCGCCATGGCCCGCGCCGGCCACGCGCTGCTGCTGGTGGTCGATCCGCTGCCGGACGCCGCCCATCTCGCCCTCCTCACCTCCGCCATCCGTCCGCCGCACGCCGTCCTCGCCATCGACCCGGTCGCGGCCACCGTCCCGCTCTGGGTCGCCGCACCCTCGGCCGCCGTGGCCATCCCGCCCATGCCCGCGCCCGCAGCGACGAGCCCACTGCGGCTGCGCTCGCCGCCTGGACCTCCGCCCCGCCCACCGGCGCCCTCACCGATCTGGTCGCCGGCGCCCTCGCCGCATGCGCCCCGCCGGCCCGCGGACTCCTCGCAACCCTCGCCGCCCTCCCGCCCACCGCCGGTGTCGCGCCGGCCATGCTCGCCGCCTTTGTCGCCGCCATCACCGGCGCCGACATGCCCGCCGCCCACGCGCTCGTCGCCCAGCTCCACGATGCCGGCCTACTCTCGCTCGCCCACGACGCATACAATGAGCGGGTCATCCCCTCCATCGTCCGCAGCGCGCTTGGCGAGCTCCTCCCGCGCCCCGCAGCTGCAGCGCTTGCCCTCGCCCTGGTGAGCACCGCTCTTCCTGGCGGGCCCGCCCGATGGCCGCCTCTTGCGGCGGCGGCGGTAGCGGCGGCGGCAGCCGGAGCATCGCCGGCGAGCAGCGGAATGATGGCGCTCGAACGGCTGGCAGCAGCGGCGCTGCGCAGCGGGGCGACGGGCTCGTGGGCCGTCCGCCGCGGGACGGCGGCAGTTGTGGAGGTCGGCTGCGCGGCTGGCGCTGCAGCGGCGCTTACCGACCTCGGGTACCTGGTGCGGCGGATGTGCGGATCGGCGGTGTGCGCCGTCGACGGGCTGGTCATCGACACTCTCGCCTGCACCAGCGCCGGGCATGAGCTCGGCGCCTTGGTCGGCGCCCTGCGCGCCGGCGCCACCATGGACCTCGGCGAGCCGACCTCGCTGCCCGGCGAGCTAGTCGCCCATCTCGGCGGTGAGGGCGCGCCGCGTGAGTTGATGCCGCTCCTGCGCGCCGCCCTCTGCGCTCCGGCCCCATCGGTCGTCCCGCTCACCCCGCTGCCGCGGCCGGTCCTCACCGAGGAGCCCATCCCGCTCATCGCCTCCACCGTCGCCGTCGACGCCTGCGCCGCGGGCCTCGCCGTCGCCGTCGACTCGGTCGGCTCGGCCTGGGTCGTCGACACAGACCGCGGTGCCGTCCTCGCTCGCCTCGCCACCGCCTCGGCCCCGCCGCTCAAGACCCGTCACACGCCGATGGCCGTCGTCGCCCTGGCCGCGCACCTGCCGCCATCGGCATCGGCATCGTCATCGACATCGCCCGCGCCCGTCCAGCTGCTCACCGTCGTCGCCGGCACCCCCTCCGGGCGCCTGGTGGTGTGGACGCCCATCGGTGCCGGATCGGACGCGGCGGGAGGCGAGATGGCGTACCACGCCGTCCCGACCCAGGTCGTCCATCCGAGGCCCGGCCCGCTGGTGGCGCTGGTAGCACTCCGCGCCCGCGGCGAGAGCACTGCCTTTGGCGCCGTCTCGTTGGCCGCCGATGGCAGCGCGGGCATCTGGCGAGTCGACGCTCTCGGCGGACTCGTCCTCCACGCCGCCCTCTCGGCCGTCCCTGCCCTCGTCTCCGCACCCGGTCCGCCCGCGGTGGCCATCGTCGCCACCCTCGAGCCGGTCATCGTCCGCTGGGCCCGCGGCGCCGCCGAGGTCGTCCTCACCAAGAGCTCGCCGCCGTACGCCACCACCATGGCGCCGATCTCCGGTCTCGGCCAGGCGCTGCTGGACGGCGTGGTGTCACTCAGCTCCGCCTATCCGCTCCCGGCGGTGGCGGCCTGGGCCGGAAGCGTCGTCGTCATCATCGGCGCCCTGCCCGCTGCGCCGGCCGTCCTCGTCCCCATCGCCCGCCTCGTCGCGCCGTGGGCAGACATCGCGGGCGTCGTTGGCGGGCCATGCGGCGCGGTTGTGGCGTGGCGGGCCGACGGTTTGGTGGCCATGTGGCATGCACCGCTGGCAGCCAGGACCGAGGGCGAGGGCGAGGCTGTGCCGGCCGCCGATGCGATGGCGCAGCTCGCCGTCGAGGGCCCGCTCCTCGGCGCCGGCGCCGTGGTGGCGTGCGATGGGGCGGCGGTGGTGGTGGGATGGTCTGGCGCGCGCCCAGGCGCCGGGCGGGTGGCCGTCTGGCTGCCAGCGGACGGGACAACGACGAGCTACCGCCTCGGCTATCCGCTGGTCGGCGCGGTGGTGACACCCGACGCGCGGAGCGTGCTTTCGTGGTCGACAGACTGCGCGCTGCGGATGTGGCGCCCGTCGTCGAGCGCGTCGCGCGCCGGGCGCGCAGCAGGCGCAGGCAGCGCCGCGGGCGTGGTCGCTCTCACGCCCGGGCCACGGGCCTTGGCACTGGCCACCTGGGGCGGGAGCGATGACGCTGGGTGCTGTCTCCGGCTGTGGCGCATGGTCCGCGGTGCTGGTGACGCTGCAGGCGCGCAGCAGCTCTGCGGGCACGATGCACCCGTGCTCGGCGCTGCCGTCGCCTCGCCGCGCCGCCGATGGGGCCGCCTCCCACTCCTCGCCACCTGGGCCGCCGATGGCTCGGTTGCTGTCTGGCAGGCGGACGAGCCCGAGGCCAAGGCATACCTCGCCGCGCCTGTGGCCACCATCGACGCCCACGCCAGCGACGTCCTCGGCGTCCTTGTCCTCCGCCACGGCGCCATCGCCGACGACCTCGACTGCGATGCCGATCCGACGCCTCATCCTACGGTCACCCTCCCCGTCCTCCTCACCTGGTCCAAGGAGCCGACTATGGTCATCTGGGCGCCTGCCCCGCCGTCCCCATCGGTAGCGCCCGGCACGCATGCCGGCTATCAGCGGCTGCAGCAGCTCGCCTGCCCCACAGGCTGGGTCCGTGGCGCCGTCCGCCTCGAGCGCCACACAGGCGCCCTCCCACACATTGTCTCGTGCTCTGGCGACGGAGCAGTGCGGGTGTGGCGGGCGATGGAGGATGATGGCAATGGCGATGGCGATGGCGATGGCGATGGCGATGGCGATGGCGATGACGAGCGCGAGCGCGAGCGAGGCCGCGGGCTGTACGAGGCCCGGGCGGCACAGGTGCTCGGCGGGCACACCCGCGGGGTCAAGGGTGTGCTGGTGCGACGCAACGGCGGCCTGGTCTCGTGGTCGTACGACGGGACGCTGCGGGTGTGGGCGAGGGTGGGCGGCGGGGCGTTTGGCGATTCAGCGACATCAGTGCTGCAGCAGCCGTCGCGGGTGCTGGCCGATGCGCTAGAGGCTGCTGATGGAAAGCTCCTCTCCTGGGGCCGCGAGCAGCTGGCGGTTTGGGCGCCCGATGGCACCGGCGGCTACCTCTCGCCGCCCGTCGCCGTACTGGCCCTCTACCTCCCGCGGGCGGTGGCGATGCGGGTGGCGGCGGCGGCCGGCACGATGCCCGGACACAACACGCTGAGCGGATGCGGGCCGGTGCGATCTGGCGGAGTGTACGTCGATGCCGTGGCCGTTGGCCTGCAGACTGGCCTCGCCGTCACAGCCTCGCACCCGCCCATCGTCCTCGCCGGCAGGCTCCGGCCGCCGCTGGCCGACGCGGGGTCGGGCGCCCGCGATCCGCGCCTCCTCCTCCACCTCCCGCCTGAGCTCCTCCACTACCACCTGCTCACCCACCTCTCACACGCGGACGGCATTGCTCTTGCCCTCACCTGCCGCGCTCTCTACGCCCGCCTCGCCGACCACTACCTCCCATCTTGGGCCCGTCTGGACGAGCTGTGACCGACTGTGGTTCTCCGTGGTTCGCGCAATCATATGCTTTCCCCTTGCGCCCGCCCCCTCCACCCGCCCGCCCGCCCTCCGACACTGGCCGGAGTGACACCCGACACTTCCGCCTCATCGCCGCCGATTAACACCCATTGATTCACCCACTCACCCAAGGCCACATCTTCCGCGGTGAGGAGCTGGCAGCGGAGTGTGTGGTCGGCACGGGGCGGTGGGGGGTGGGGGGTGCCCCACGCCAAAAAAATTGTGGCGAGGTTGGACCGAGAGGGAGACGGGGGGGAGCCCCACGGCGAGTCGCGTTGTCAGCCGGCGAGCAGGGAGGGGGATGGGCGCAGAGGCCGTGCGGGGCGGCACGGCACTCTGTGGAAGCGCAAAAAAGAGAGGATGGAGGACCCGTTTGGAAGCACGTATGGGCTGCCCGTCGAGCTTGTGCTGCATGTACTGAGCTTCCTGGACCCCGTGTCGCTGGCGGCGGCAAGCAGGGTGAGTCGCCGCTGGCGGGCGGCGGCCGGCGACGGATCGCTCTGGCGGGCGCTGGCGGGGCGGGCCGAGGGCCGCGGGGCGGGCCGAGGCCGAGGCAATGGCGAAAGTGGGGGCGGAGACGAAGGCGGCCAAGACGGCGAAGGCGACGATGATGGCGGCGAGGATGGCGATGGCGGCGATGGCGGCGATGGCGGCGATGGTGGTGATGGCGGCGATGGCCCTGACGATGGGCGGCGGCTGTCGGCGGGCGGCAGGGTGCTGGCGCGCAACCTGCCGCTGCAGCGGAGCGAGTGGCGCGAGGCGTACGTGGCGCTGCAGAAGCTGGCGGTACCGGAGCGGGTTGTGCCGCTGGTGGTGGAGGCAGCCGACGCATCGTCGGTGGACATCGACCCGAAGACCGGCGCCGGGTACGTCGACCAGGGCCCGTGCGAGGTGCTGGACAACTCGATGTCGTTCTGGTCGTCGATCGGCTCCGAGACAGCCGATGCCAACGAGTACCTTCTCCTCCGCCTCGACGCGCCGGCCATCGTCACCCACCTGGCCATCAAGCCGTTCCAGGCTGTCTTCCAGCCGGGCGAGCCGACGTACGCCCCGGTGACCTACCGCTTCTCGATCGGCTTTCTCCCGCGTGACTCGGGCGAGGGCGAGGGCGAGGGCGAGGGCGAGGAGAGTGAGGAGGGAGAGGAGGGCGAGGCTGTGTCCGCGACCTCATCGCGAGCGCTGGTCATGGCGCCCGGCGACCGAGGAGCGGCCATCTCGCCGGGCGCGATTGCAGGAGGCGACGGCGTGGCGAGGGAGGGCCCGGACGGGGTGTGGACATACGTCTCGGCGGAGATCCACGCCGAGGAGAGCGGAAACGACGTGGCGGTGGTGCCGGTGCTTGCACTTGGCGAGGTCATCAAAATCGAGCTTCTGGGCAAGACGCAGACGCAGCCGCAGGACGACAAGTGGTACACGTGCGTGCAGCGTGCGGCGGTGTGCGGGCTGCCACTGGCGGCAGTGGACTCACCGCCGCTGCGGCGGAGCCTCATCGCCGCCGCTGCTCATCGTGGCGGCCTGCCGTGGCCCGACGTTCGTGCCGCCTTCCACGCGGCAGGAGGCGAGTACGCGGCGTACGGTCCGCTGGCCGAGGCCAAGCTCGCCATTGTGTCCGAAGAGCGGCTGAAGGCGGCGGCGCTGGCGACGGAGCTGGCGGAGCGGGCGGCTGCTGCGGCGGGTGACGGCGATGTGCCGGGAGCGGTACGGGCGCTCCGTTCGCTGGTCATGATGGACGAGCGACGGCGTGCGCTGGCGGTGGCGCAGGGCGGCGGCGTGGAGCTCCTCTCGGCCTATCTCGACGCGCTCTTTGCCGGCGGCGAGGGTCTGGCGGCGGAGGAGATCCTGGCGGCGCTGGACGCGGTCGATGTGGCGACGGGCGCGCCGTACGACGCCGTCAAGTTCTTCACCCTCGTCATGCGGGCGAACGAGCTTGTGCCCTCTCTCGGCGACGTGCTGCTTGACATGGGCGCGCCCTCGCTCGCCTGGGCCGTCTACCTCGAGGCCGGGGCGTACACCAAGGGCGCGGTGGCCATCGCATCGTCGGGTAACCTCCGCGATGCCGCCGCCGTCCTCAACTCGGTCCGCTTCGGCAAGGGCGTTGTCCGTGTCATCGAGCTCGCCGCCGCCTACCTCCCGCCGCCCGTCCTCGCCGCCTTTGTCGTCGTCATGAGCTCGTCGGAGCACCTCCTCCCCGATGGCTACGTCCCCAACGCGGTCTGCCACCTCCTCGGCTGCGCCGCCAACACCTCGGTCGCCCAGCTCCGTGCCCAGCTCGACGCCGCCCACCCCGGCCTGACCGCCTCGGCACTCTCGGGCGCCATTGTCGCCATCGACGAGTACTCGGACAGCGGGCCAGGTGGCGAGGAGTAAACATTGATACGAAGCAAAATATTTTTGCACACATCTACCGTGACAACACCACGACCGTTGCTCCTCAATACAAGCGGCAAGCGCCTCGCGCGTCGAAGAGCGGCAGCACCGCACTCCCGCGCCGCCACCGCAGCAACAGCATGGAAGTGGCGCGCAAAGTGGTGGAGGTGGTCGGGCGCGGTGTGCCGGGGCGGCGCGGCGGATGGGCGTGGTGGGCG